GTGGGATCCTAGATATTTTCCTTTGCTTCCTGGCAATGAGGCCACTGCTTTGCTCTGCCACATGCACTCTGCCACTGCCATCTGGCTCAACTCTGATAGCCAAAGCACCGCAATCACCCAATATTGGGTAGAACCTCCAAAAACATAAGCCAAGAATAAGCCTTTTCTCTTTAAGTTTAACAACATAGGAGGTGTGGGCAGGGAGAAGGTAGAGACCTTGAGTAGGGAGGATGGATGGGAGGAGGGGAGTGAGGCCGACTCAGAGGACCTAGAAAAGGAAACAGCTGGGCCCCAGTTGGTTGAGATATATGCATTAAAAAAAATAATTTTCCATACCTCCAACTTAACCTGTAAAGGAAAATGAGATTAGAAATAGTTATGAATCTTAGCAACAGAACGATGTGATCCCTAGCTGATCCTGGTGTCCCATATACAGGAAAAAATCTGAGCTACAGAAGTCTAAAAATAAGTTGAATAGTTTATGGTTTAATGAAAAGTAATAAAACTCACAAGCTTAAATCCACTAGCAACTTTCACATAAATACAAATTTATTTCTTTTGGTGTTTTGTTTTGTTTTGTTTTGTTTTTTGTTTTGTTTGAGACAAGGTCTCCCTGTAGCCCTAGCTGTCCTGAACTCACTATGTACACCAGGCTGGCCTGTTTCACAGAGATCCAGCTGCCTCTGCCTCCTAAATGCTGGGATAAAAGGTGTGTGCCACCATGCCAACTAAACCCATTTTGTAAGTGTAATTTACTTTTAACATCACAGCAGGGCAAGTTTAATATTTTTTAAAAACTGTAACTTTTAACTAATATTAACCAGAGAATGATGTTATTCACTAATTCTGGAAGACCTAGAAATATGCAGATGTCAAAAGCTCCAAGTGGTTCTTTGTTAGACAGTCACAATTTTGAAGGCAGCTTCAGATAAACCCAAAGTTGAGATGCTGTAAACACTCTTGCTGCCTAATTCATGTCTATATTCAGCTACATTTAGCAGTAGAGTTTCCTTTGTTCACAAACTATTCTCAATAACTCCATATTTAGATTCCCAGAGGCAGAGTACCTTGGACATATTTGGTAAATGAATGAATGGCTGCATGGATGGATGAACAAGAGAAGCATCTGATGGCTGTGTGAATCCTGGAGATGCAATGCACAGAATGCTTCATGTATGTGGATCCCTGGCTGGCCAGGGCTAACGCTTCCTGCCTTCACAAGTGTGTCTTTCATATTTAGTACAACGAGACTGAATTAAAATGGACTAGAGGGAGCAAGAAAGTTTGCTATGTAAGAGTTACTCTAAAAAACGTTACCTTGACCCTAATAATGTGTTTACATGATCATATGTCTCTCTAAAGTAAGGTATAATTAAATTCATTCTACTAAAAAGGGGCCTCAAAATAAGTTTCAAAATCCATACAACCCTGGTCTGTCCCTGTGTAAGAGATAGGAAGATGTCAGTGGCAGAAGAATAATTGACACTGATAATTACTGTACTGGTCAGTTTTCCATTACTATGACAAAAAACCTGAGACCATCATCTTATAAGGAAGAAAGATTTATTTGGGTCCACAGTTTTGGAGGTTTTGGTCCATGGTCAGTTTTGATGCTGTGGTGAGGCAGTATATTCTAGTGAGTGTGTGGCAGAGGGAGGGAGGGACAGAGGGAGGGAGGGAGGGAGGGATCTGAATCCTAAATATCCCTTCTAAGGACACACCTCCAAAAACTGAACTTGGCCCACCTCTCGAAAATTCCATCATCTCCCCTCCCAATAACACCAAAGACTGGGGTTCTAGCCTTTAGCAGATGAGCCTCTGAGGGAACTTAAATTTAACTATAGTGTTTACTGAGGACACTGAGTAGGGATCAGAACGTGGGGAGCAAAGCAGCCTCTCATTCCTTTCTGAAAACAGTTTCAGGTAGGCTCGGGTTCGTTCTCATATCACGACTTTCCTTTCAGCTTTTACATCTTTGCAAATGAAGTCACAAGAGACATTCAGCTGTTACAAACTTCATGTCAAGCTTTGAAGTGCTTTTTAATAGCAGAAATATTTGGCTCACGTGTGGGCTTTGTAGCTATGGTAAATACCTCTTAGTTATCTGTCGCTACTGTTATTCCACACCTCCAATTTGGAGGAGAAATTCTGCATATGCATTGAGGCAGTAGAAAAGAATATTGAACTATATCTTGGCTCTTTTGTGAATGGTTTCCTTTTATTTCTTCTCTCATGGAACTAATGCTTTCCTCACATTGTAGTGGTTATGGGTGGGAAAGCAGTGGACAGAAGGGGAATGCTGATTGCTACATCACTAGCTGGCAGTTCCCCTGAGCTGCAGGGAGGTTTGGTGGTCAAGTAGCTCCTTAATATAAAGCCAAGGCATCACAATATCACAATGACTGATTCCTCCACCTGTTCTCTCTCTCTCTCTCTCTCTCTCTCTCTCTCTCTCTCTCTCTCGCTCTCTCTGTGTGTGTGTGTGTGTGTGTAGAGGGCAAGAGTCCATGCTGGGTGTCTTCCTCAATTTCATAATTGCTTCCCCACCTTATTTTATGAGACAAAGTCTCTTACTAAACCCGGAGCTCACCTGATTGGCTAGACTTACTGGCCAGCAAGCCCCAGGAATGTTCCTACCTCCACCTCCCCAGTGCTGGGGTATAGGCCCAGGCTACCACATCCAGCTTTTATGTGGGTGCTGGGGATCCAGACTCAGGCCCTCCTGCTTGCATGGCAAGAATTTTACAAACAGAGCCATCTCCCCAGCCCCCCTTGTTTTCCAGCAATGTTTTACTAAAACTGTATAAAATGTTTTCGGTAGTTAAGAAGAAACTGACCACAATTAGTATGAGATAAAGATGGAAAAGGGGAAAAAAAAACCTTTCATTAGCAGATTCTGTATTACTGAAATACAGACTGTATGTCTCTGTCTCCAGCTACGTATCAAAACAACATATAGAGAAATAGCATCTTTGAAAACAGACAAATGTGAGCAAAGGCCAGGCACAAAGCCATTAGGGATCTGCCCTATGTTGAGCAGAGACATTTTCCTTCTTTATATAACTTAATTATTTTATAAAAAGATGACAGAAGATTTTATCACACTCCCTAAGTTAAACACTTGACATTTTTATTCCTTAAAATGAAACATTTTAGAAGTCTAGGTATGTTTATTAATTAGTGATTATTAACACTCAGTAAACAACATTATGTCTTGTAAAAACACAATCTCACTTCACAGCATGAAGCTGAAATCTATTATTCCCTGATTCCATATGCTGAAATACACTCAAATAGTCACAAATGACCTTAAGCATTAAATAAATGTAAATGAGGACAACATAGAAAATGCACTTTTGATTGATAACTAAAAGACCGGGTTGAAAAGCATGTCCCAAAATGAAGTCCCCTCCAGGAGGGGGGTGGCTGTTTGCACCATGCAGGAAAGGCTGTCCTCAGAGTGAAGGGTAGGCATGGACTCTCTTTCTCTGCACCTGCCTGAGGTTTTGTGAGAAACAGAACTGGTTTGTTCACTTATATAAGAAACGCAGAGGGGCTGGGGAGATGGCTCAGCCATTAAGAGCACTGGCTGCTCTTGCAGGGGACTGGGGTTTTGTTCCCAGCACCCACATGGCAGCTAATAACCATCTCTAACTCCAGTTCCAGGGGATCCAGGACCCTCTTCTGGCTTCCACAGGCATTGCATGTATGTGGTGCACTTGCATGCATGCAGGCAAAAGTCATACACAATAAAATAAAAAATTAAACAATAACAACAACAACAACAACAAAGAAACAAACCCCGCAGAATGCATTGCCCTCATATCATCAGTACACTTGGAAAATTGGAATGTATGCTTGAAAGCACATATATGGACATTTTATTATATTAATCAATTAATAAAGAGACCAAATTATTGTTGATCCATAGTCTTCTACCAATATACCTCCCCCTGATTTGGGGTCTCTCTGTATAGTCCAGGTTGGCCTCAAGCCTGCAATCCTCCCACTTGACTCTTCACTGAGTGCTAAGATTACAGCTGTGTGCAGCTGTGTCTGGCGCCACTTTGGTAATTGAGCACTGTAGCTGTTTGCCCACTGGTTTTTTCAAACAAGGTAGTCAGGGTAGAACAGTGTCCTCCACATAGGAAAAACTTCAAATATCAAAGGATGACAGATTAATAGTATGACATGAAATAATTACAAATGGAACTGCTGCTGTAATAAAACCTGTAGCTAAATGCATAGGGGGGAATGCACAAATACAGATATTTCATGTGAGAACTCCTGATGTCTTCCCTTCTAGGTCAACTGCCCATAGGATGGGGCCTCACAGAATACAGAGCTGTTTTGTTGGAGGCAAGCATTTCTCCTAGTTTGGAAAAGAAAGAACAGAATGGGCAGGGATTGGATTTATGGACTGCATTAAAAATCATCAACTAGACAAAGCTCCTCAGCCTGGGCACTATTGACATCCTGGACCAGATACTTCTAGGGAATGGAGGCTTTGCTGCACTTGGAAAGATGGCCATCAATGATCTCTACCCAACAGATACCAGGAGCCAGTAGATACCAATAGTGACAATGTCCCCTCCTCCCCCCTAGTCAGGACAATAAAAAATGTTTTCAGAGCCTGCCAAAATTCCCGTGTTGGGGAGCAAAACTGCTCCCAGGTTGAGAACTGCTGGAATAGAGCAATTTAAGAAGGTACAGTTTGCTTCTCCCAACCTCCTGTTGTGTTATCTCAGCCGTGAACTGGTCCCAACTCTGTATAACATACTTATCTTCACCTTTTGTGTTCTCATCTACTGACTGGAGTGTCTGTCTGCCTCACAGGAGTCCCATGTGCATTCAATGACATGATACTTGTAAAGTGCTTAGAACTGTCCCTAATATACTAACAAAAGCTCAATAAATGTTAGCTGTTATTATTTTTAAAGAATCATACATAGTATCAAGATGGTGTTTTAATGCAGAAAGGGTGCAGAAAGGTCTCTTACCAGCTTGATATCTTCTCAGTCTTAATCATGCCAGCCTTTTGATTGCTTGTGATGATGCTATTCACATCTACAGGACATAGTTAAGAAAATCTCGGCAATGATTGTCAACTGACTTAAAAAAAAAAAAAAAAACAACTCCACAAACATGTTGGCTTCTTATTACAATGGGGTCAACACAAGGAAAGGAGATGAGGTATAGAGTGCTCTGCCAAATATAGACTCACCACGGGCAAGAGCTCGTAGTTCCCTGGCTTACGGCTTTACCGCCTGTGGAAGGTACATCTAGATCACATCATGGTGAGGCCCAGAGTGCAGATGCTGAAGGGCACTGTTGAAGAGTGTAAGATGTTATGCCTACTTGCCCAGGCAAGTCAGATGTCCAGAGGCAAATGTCCAGCAGCCAGTGAGAGGGCAATGCCAGCTTTTGTTGACTTTCTAAGTTGAAGTAATTCCAACCTCCTAAAGGCTAGTAGGGAGAGAGGAGCCGAGTAGCAAGACTGCAGTGGAAGTAAAACAGAAGGTGGAGAAGAGATTGGAGCATCTGTGGGAGGTGAGGAAGTACTAAGGAAGAAATTCAATCTAAGGTCGGGTCCTCTGAAGAACTTCTGCTTTGGCCTTTGGCCATCTGCTGGCATACAGGGATTTGCACAAAAGAGCCATGTTTATGGAAGAGATTCTTTGAGGAGCTGATCTCTGACATCACAAAGACCACAGGAAAAATGACATCAAGTTTCAATACCAGGAAGAGCTGGACTTCGGACTGTCCACAGTAGTTTTTCTTCTGGGCACTCTAGGCGTTATAGCTGTTGTTCTTTCTCTCTTTGGTCTGGCTCCTGTCCCCACAGGGCCTCACAGAGTACAACTCCAACACTCAGAAGTGCTCCTGTGGTATCTGATTCTCTGCACTGACTTTGGTTCCAGGCTTCCTAATTTCTGAAGACCCTTACCTTCTCATTTACTTCACATTTACTTCCTGTCAAAAGCCTCACAATAAGGCACATTTAAATAAACAAGAAATAAAATAATTCTACTGAAGACTGCAAACTGAATAAAATTGGGCCTGTGGAGGACACCTAGCAGATAGTGATGTTCCCCTATTGCTCAGAAAAAAAACAGATTTCCTGACCGCTTCAAGGAAGCATTGGCCAAGATCTCCCCGTCAGAACAGAGCCACAGGACTTTGAGACCCAAATCTCTGTTTGGAGCACCAGGCACACCCATTTCTTCTCTGAGTGAATAAGCGGGCACTGTGATAGCTTTCTTCCCTCAGGAGTGGGTAGGAAAAATCAATTAGGTCTCCTAATGAAGGGCTTTGTTGAGGTTTACAAAAGTGCCATAATGCAGACTTTTTTTTCCCCCTCAGTGAACTTTCCTGTATGCAAATTAAATACCGTTAAATTACATTCATTAAAAAAATAAAGGAGACTAATTTGCCTACTTGTTTTGATTAACTAAAATGACACATCGGCCTCCAGTTCTGTCTATTTCAGGAAGAAAGTATTTCAGGAAAGTCTTCTAAATGAAATGCCTTGCAGAAAAGGACAGCTGACAGCTTTATAACCCAGAAGAACAAAATTAGTAAAGAGTCAACTGACAACTGTTTTTGATTAAGTTCCCCCACACTCTGGCCACACCCTACTCTACGTTGCCATGGCATCCAGCTGCATGCTCTAATGTGCCTGGTACACCTGTAGCGTCATATGAGTACATGACTAATCTATCAAGCAAAACATATTATTTTGTTAGTGGAGGTAATACTTTTTACAAAATAGTCACAGGGAAGTTAAATTATATAACTCAGAAAACCTATTAATAATTTTTAGTAAACATCTTAACACCATATACTTTTATACCATTTATAAACCTGTGACTCCAGGTGGTCAGACTGGAGCAAGCATATGTGTTTATATTCTAGAAGCAAATTTTTTAAATGAAAAGATTCACAGCAGTACTTAGGCTGCTTTATTTTTATAACTGGGAAAGAAATATATTTTGAGGTTTAGAAGGGCTTTTTAAAATATTTTATTATTTTTATTTTATGTGTATGAGTGTATTGCCTGCATGTATGTGAGTGCACCCATGTCGTGCAATGCCACGGAGGTCAGAAGAGGGCTTCGGATACCCCTGGAACTGGAGTTAAGGACAGTTCATAGCCACCATGTGGGTGTTGGGAATCGAACCTGGGTCCTCTGCAAGAGCAGTCAGTGCTCTTAATCACTGAGCCATCTCTCCATCCCCAAGAAGGGCTTTTAAAAATATTAAAATAGGGGTTGGAAAGATGGTTCAGCGGTTAAGAACATTGGCTGTTCTTGCAGAAGACCTGGGTTCAAATCCCAGCACCCACATGGTAGCTAACAACTGTCTGTAACTCCAGTTCCAGGGGATCTGACAGCCTCTTCTGTCCTCTACCGACATTGCATGACACTGGTGCACTTACGTACATACAGGTAATACACACACATGAAAATAATGACTAAAATATTTTTTAAAATATTAAAATAAGTACAAAGAGAAAAGATGGCGGTAGTATTTTTAAATATTACTTTAAGAGATAAATTCTGATATCCTGTCCCCTACCCTTTAAGTCAGATTTTGGTGGTCTTTCTGGATGGTACTGTGTCCAATAATAGATTTTATCATCTCCCCATGTCACCTCAGGGTAATAAAGGAAATCCAATTAAATTGAGTCAGTATGTCTAGGATAGTGTTCAACACAACAGACCCAATGGTGTTCTGTGAACTGACCTCACCTGCCAGAAGACTTGCCGGGAGGGGCTGGGTGCAAGGAAAATCTTCCAGTGGTTTCTGATAAGCAGCAGAGCATATGCTCTGGGCACAGAGGAAGCCAGAATTCTACCTCTAGATTCTTTCTTGAACAAAGCATGTGTCAGGAGTGATCTATATTTTGGTTTTCAGTTGATTTTTACTCTTAAAATATAAACTTGTATACAATAACAATGAAGTCATTTAAGTCAAGTACATATATGTATGTAAGGTAATGCTGAAAATATTAGCCTCTCCATGTAATTAGTGAATGTTCTATTTATCAGTAGCTGTATGTACATTTTGAACTAGTATTGTTCTTTAAGCCATAAAATATTTTTTAAGATATTAACACTGTGATTCAGGCAACATTGTTTTCTTAGTTTATGTTATCTTTAATTTCACTGGGGCATTGAAAATGAGGGAAGAAAACTGTAAGATTTATAAATCCTACTAATGTTGATCTCTAAATGATTTTTTAAATGCTCAAAGTGGCAATGTTTGCTGATTTATGGTTGCAAACTACTTTTGATGTTTAGGTTGTGAGCCCAAGCCTTTAACACGACTGAGCCATCTCTCTCCAGCCCATATTTTTTTATTTTTATTTCATGTGTATGTTTTGCCTGTGTGTATGTAAGTGCACCCATTGTACAATGCCACAAAAGGCCAGAAGAGGGTGTTGGGTCCCCTGGAACTGGAGTTACAGATGGTTGTTAGCTGCCATGTGGGTTCTGGAAACTGAACCTAGGTCCTTTGGAAGAGCAGCCAGTGCTCTTGACTGCTGAGCCATCTCTCCAGTCCCTACAAACTACTCTTAAATCTGCTCCCTTCTCCAATGAATTGAGATAATGACATAGAGGTGTGCCAAGGTCTGTTAGCAATGCCACCTGTTACCTTTATGAAGTCAAATGAACGTGACTTCTTATGCTGGCTTTGAAACTTACTGGCTGTGTGATGGGGGTATATCAACCTCTCTGCGCACCATCTTTAAAACAGGAACCTGTATTACAGGTTGTAACCTATGTTACAGGTTTGATGAGTGCCCCATATAAGAGGCCCAAGACAAAGTAGGTGCTTAGTTCATGCCAGTTCTAGCATTTTTTCAATAATTTCATCAAAAGCTTTGCAGGATGAGGAGCCTAGTGATCATACCTAAAGTGAGGCTTCCCGGTTATGCTTTATTTTCTCTCCCTGATGCTCAGAATGAATTATGTGAATGTTTACACTGTAGATTTGAAATAAGTAGAAGGAATCGGAGAACTTCTGACCTGTTCTGTTTCAGTGTTTTTCACATATGGAAACGTGTCCTCATCATGGCAAAATATGTGTCCCATAAGAGTGGGAACTGGGGCTATCTTGCCACCTGCCATATCTTTATCATCTGAAGAGCTAAGGTTGTTGCTTAAGGGTAGAGTACTTGCCTCATATGCATAAGAGCCTGGGTCCAAGCCTTAGTCCTGAAAAAAAATTTTTTAAGGGGAAATGGCATGCAATGAATACTGGTTGGACTAATTGTAATTTGATTTTCAAAGATATTTGTTGAATACCCACAGTGAGGCTCATCTGTACATAGAAGTTAGACTGACATCACAATTTGAGGAAGGGCCTGAAACTGGGATTCCCAAGTTCTCAGCAATCCATAGCACAGGCTGCATGGTCCATAGGAAGTTTTATTTATTCCTTATACAAGTCAGGGATTCTACTACAGAAAATAATATCAGGGGTATCTCCTAGAAGTAGCCCAAGAGATTTACCTGGGTTCGGAGAACCCTACACCCAAGATCAAAACTGCGTACCTACCATGGGGATAAGATCTTTGGGTCAAGAACACAGACAAATGCTCTAAGCATTGGGCCAGGGCAGGGTGTTTGAACTGGATGAATTAGTGACTGAGGACAGACAAGGCTACTTATCTTTAGGTGCTTTTATTGTTCTTTCTTTCCCTCTCCTCTCTCTCCTCCATTTCTTCCCCCTTCTCCCACTCCCTCCCTCTCTTCCTTTTTCTTTTCTTTTGAGACAGGGTCTCCTGTGGCCTAGGCTGTCCTCAAACTTTGTAGCCAAGGCCAGCCTTGAACTTCTAATCTTGTTGCCTCTACCTCCCAAGTGAGTTGGAGGAGGCTTTGCAGCAGTCAGAGTTCAGTCTGCCATTTCTCTCTCTTGTTCTTATATCATTGTGGTCAGCAACTACAAATCTTACTGAGTAGCCATTATGTGTGGGCATTTAGAGATTAAGAGGAAGGAAGACATTTACTACACAAAAAAGGAGGGAGGGGGGACCAAAGAGCAGTAGTGTTTTACCTTATTTTAAAATACATTTCAGAACCAGTTAAAGCAAATGATCCCATTTCCAATTTATCCTTTATATTCTTGGGGTACAGTTGAAATAGAATTTGTGGGGAGAGATGGTTTTCAGGATGGGGACTCTGTATTAAACCCAGTGAGGAACCTTGAAGATCCAGGAGAACCTCAAGGAAACCTCCCCATAAATCTGAGAAAGTATTCCAGACAGAAGATTCATTTTACCTCAAGTCTTAATCTCTTTTCAGACAACTGTTTATAAAAAATCTCAGATCAACATCTAGCTTTCCAGGGTCAAGATGGAGCACTCTAGAAGACACAGCCAACCCCATGATACATTTTAGGAAGATAGTAAGTCACCTTACAACTGGTTGGCAGGCTTCTATGATATAAAGGTTCAGAATGAATCCATCCATTGCCTTGTTATATTAAAAAATATAACAGAAGTTGAAAAAGAAATAGCAGAAAATGCTAGTTTTTTCCTTTTAGAAAAAGATAAAAATGAGAATGAGAGAAACTTAAGAGACTAGGAAGTAAGACTAGTTGGGTTTGTTCAATTCAGAAGCCGAAAATAACAAAAATAGTTTTTAAAATGATGAGGCTACACAGACCAACACTCGGACAACGAGTGACTGCCAGGTCGATTTCATCATTTCTCTGGTGTGTTCACTTGTTTCTTAATGTGCTCATCTTGCCCATTAAGAATAATTAGCAGCTTTGCTTAGAGATTTTTCTGGCTTCTCACAATGTTTCTCCTCATTTTTTTTTTGTTGTTGTTGACAGTCATTTTTACTTTTTAGATAGTAATTTTTGTATAATATCCTCCAACTGCTGCATAATTTGGGCTTCCAAAAATTTTAAGGAAAAGATGTGCACAGTGGTTTATAAATGAGTTGGTTTTCATTTATATGCATCAATAGTATGTGATTTGGTGAATGAGTTATTCTTACAGAAAGGGGGCACACAAATTCACTCATATTAACCTAACTCAGCAAAACAGATGACAGCCCATGCCCATTGTGAGCTGTTTGCAAATCAAGAACATTAGTATTAAAAGCAGGAAACCCACATTGCCAATTTTAAGGCCTTTGCATGCTTTTTCCTCCTAATTAAAAGAAATTAGATCTACTTACAACAGAAAAAGGCACACAAACATAGAGCGACTGCATCATAAAAACTGAACCCTATCAGGAAAGTCCTAACAGATGAAATAAAACACACAGCCCGTTTTGGTCTGCATCCTGAAAGGACCTACTTTATCTACATTGTAAAGTTGTTCTCCTCCTGCCCTTTGGCACCCCGCTATATTAAACCCATTGTAAAACCCAGCACAATAAAGCACTCTCAGGGCTGAGCTTCTGAGGACCAAATGTTAAAAATCCATTTTCTTGGGAGGGGGCTGTACCAATCATTTCTTTGAAAGGCCGGCAGAGTGAAAGGCAGAATCTGAGATTTCCTTTTTGATTTCAAGAGCTGGCATGGTATCTCTGCTGTTTAAAGCAAAGGTGCAGTAATTAATGACATTAGCCTGGCTTCCCTTCTTTGGAAACTCCATAGTTTAGCTCAATAATAATTTTAGTACAATTAAATTTACATACTGACTCCAGATGCTTCCCATAGTTTGATGATAAAAAAAAAGTTCTAATTGGTTTCTGATGCTATTAAATAAAGTCACCTGCTGGCTTAAAAAAAAAATCTCAGGGTACTGGACCCAATCTGAAAGTTTCTGTGGCCAAAATACCCTTGTCTTGTTTAATATTCCTGGTTTTTCTACCTCCAGAAGAATCATTGTCTGGGGCTGAGCTGGCGCACCTGAGCTTCCCCTTGTTCCATGTTTCCTGACATGAGGAGGAGGAGCTCAGTGAAATGATACAGGCCCAGAACACCTCAGAATAAAGCGAAATGAATGGAATGACAGCAGCTCATCTTCAGGAATATTTTGAAAAACTTGCGACAGTTTCAAGATCATGATTAAAATCCTACATTTAAAAAAGGGAAGCACCTTTTGTGATCTCTTTCCCTGGTGTGAAAGGCCAAGATTGTGATTGGCTGTTTTTCCTTCCTGAATTTTTTTTTTTTTTTTTTTTTGAAGGGCTGTCAGGCAATTAGCTGGGTGGGGCTCTGCAGAGCTCACAGTGTGCTGAGCAGGGTTAGCTAGCATGCTTCCTGTTCCTCCTTCCTCCTGTGTGAGCAGCTGATGGAGCTGCTGTGAATTTTATTTTCGAGAAATTATAGAGCAGAGGAAGAAGAAAAGGAAAGGAAAATGGGTTTTATGTAAGATGCTACAGAAACTCAACACTGCATTTTAGGGCCTGAAATTCAAATAAGGGCCTACATTCCTTTCCATGTCAGCGTAAGGAAAAAAGAAATCCAAAGCAAACAGATCTTCCACTTTTCCTCTCATTTTCTAATGTCTCTTAACTGCCCCAGAGCAAACCAGCTAGACTGTTAAAGTAGCCATAAATTATGCTTGCATTCTTAAAGCACAGTTCCATTTTCACAAACTCTATGTACATATTAGTAAAGTATAATCTAATATAATGGGGTTTGAACTGTAATACCATAGTAGAAAAAAAAAGGGAGATAGCTTTTATAATCCTAAATAAAAGGAGATAATGAAGAAGTGATAGCTGTTTCTAGTGGGGGACCTATGTAACGTATCGACAATAAGCACAGGCACAATTTGACTGGCATTTACAATATCAAACGCATAGAAGTTAGAAGTTAATATGTACGAGCAATGTTGAAGAAGCAAATATTAATTTTAATTTCTTTTGTACTGGAAAATAATAATGAAAATCGAAGAGCAAGAATGCTCAAAAATTATTATGAAATACATTTTCTTATTGCCTTGAAGAGGCACACAAAACCCAGACTCCTTTAGTGAGAAGCGTCTATAGGTACTACGGAAAAGAAGAAGCCCACAAAGTCATCCGTGGTGAATTCATATATTTCTAGTTTTTCTTAATTACTTATCGTGTGTGTACGGGGGAATTCTTTCTTAGTACCCCATGCTGTCTTTCTTTATATCAATTGTTACTTAGCCTGGGGGAAAAAAGAGTGAGCACAACAAACCCGCTTTCTATCTGAATAAGGATACTTCTGATGGCCTTTTCATTCCCATCAGTTAACAGAACTTCTTTGACATCTGCAGAAATAGCAACCTGAAAAAAAAAAAAAAGAGAGAGAGCGCACAGCAAACAATGGCCAAATATGCTTGTCTGTGTGGAAGTGAAGACAGGAGTGACAAGCCTTCAGTATCATGCTTCCTCACCTATTTCTCTGTAACAATCTTCAATCTTTTTTCATTTTATGTCTGCATTATTTTAATCATTCAATCAAATCAGTCAATACTTTTATCATTCCATTTGCGGGAGCCTCTATCTTGCTATCATTCTGTTCGGTAATTGCATTGTGACAGCAGATGATGGTATTCTGAGAGGCTTTCATTTGTGGGCTTCTGTTTATCTAGGAGAACCATCATACAAGGCTGTCACTCTGCCTTTCAGCCTGCTTCTGTCTGACTGCCTGATGCCCTTCATATAACTTTGCATTGCAGGCAGATGGCTTTGTGAGGGTAATTTTTTTGTGAGCTTTGACATGCTCGCACATTGGGCTGTAACCTCGACACATTGTATGAGAGCGACAGGTTTGTCAAATGCCAATCAGTGTAACAATATGCTTTTATTTGTAGAGACATAAAAACTTGTCTAATGCACTGTGCTGCTACATAATATCTCCTGAATACATGACTCAGAACCCAGAGAATGGGGAACGACGTTCCTGAATGGCCAATCTAATTCAAAAGAATCTAATTACTGAGCGCTCTGGATCATGTTTGTTGGTGTAATAATGCAGGCAAAACATTAGCAGCTATCTCATGGTGCTCCAACTGTGATTCGCCAGGCTATTCCTGTATCTTAGCAAATGGGACTATAATCTGAAAAAAAAAATGCATTCGCTATGGCAAAGAAAGACTGTGCGAGGCCTGGAATGTCACAACAAGCGATATTGACTACACTGAGGTAAAATGTTTCTGCTCATCGAGGCAACCATAAAATCAATATGATCCGAAAGTAAGTCAATCTAGAAGGTCTCTCAAGACCCGGCAGCTTGACCGCAGCTGATGCTGTTGACGGTTCTCTGACCCAGCAGTTAGAGGCCCTGGAACATTTTTCCTTTTGTTTCTCCCTCTGAATGGGATTGGAATTGAGAAAAGACCTACCATGAGCCCAGCCAAGCATGTCATGCCACCCCCTAGCTCACACACAGCAAGGTCCCTGAAAGAGAGAAAAGAAATGGTAGAACCCATACAAATGAGATGAAAATGGTCAGAGGGAGATATATGTTACAAGAACAAATTGCCATCTGCAGTAAGACAGCACTACCAGGAAGTTGTGGAGACACGACTGGGCTACCTCATGTCGTTTTGCGTTTTAAAAATAATTATGAAATAGAAAAGTCACAAAGCAGGCAAACCAGTGGGGGTCCCTCATTAGTGTTCACTGCAACATTACCACCGCTGAGCAGAAAAATCTGAGAAGGTTCCTTTTTTCCCCTTGTCAATGGTGCTGTCTTTTAGAACTAAACTAGCTAGAGTAGCGAAAGATAATTGTTAGGAAAGGATAACATTGTTAATCCACATTCATGCCTTCAAAAACAGTTAGACAAGTACACGAAGGACGTATGTGAGTGTGTATGCACTTACAGTCACATACAACACACACAAATATGCAATCCTGATTTTTTTTTTTTCAGTTCTAAAATAGGCTGAAACATTTTGGAAAGCTGAGCCATCCCCATAAAGCACGATTACACAAAGAGCATTTAGCAATTAACACTTAGCTCACAATTGACCCCAACGCAACACAGCGAATAAACAATGCAGGGACATAATATGGTTAAGCCAAGCAGACCCAGGCTGAAGTAATGACTGGGTTCTGGCTCCACGGCTCCCAAGTAAAGTGGCTCAGAGGGAAAGCTGACAGTCTAGTGGGCCATTCTGCACTTACCTTCCCCTTTGTGCCTAAATATCAGCCCTCAACATGTGACATTCTCGCCCTGGCCCACTGCTCGCTGATTGGAGCTCCAGTCAAGCTTAAGCACAGAGAGATGAGCAAATGCCAGAATCCAGGGCGGCCCTGCAGCCCCAATTCAGAACTGCCCTGTTCTTACATTATATGCTTAGACTCTTAACATTGTTTCTTCTTCCCAGCTCAGGAAGTTTATTACCTCAAGAGGAGAAAAAAGGCAAAATTAACAGGGAGAGGGGGAGAAGAAGAAGTCAAGAGAAGACATTCACATCAGGAAATACATTTCATGTGTATTTACTTGTTAAAGCCATTACAGACTGGTTGGTAAATATGGACCTGTAGAGCTTCAAAAAATCTGTAGTATCAACCCAGTCTTGTAAGTACACACTGTTAAAACATACACCATGATTCACAGAATGGCTCGTTACAAAACATGATGGGCCGTTCAGAAAGCATACTGGATGACTTTCAGAAACCAAGAGTTAAAATGAAAAAACAAAATAAAACAAACTCTGTACTTTCTAATTTCACCAAACATCTCCAGGATTTTTAAATGAAGGAAAAATTTCCCCTTCTTTCTTAAGTCCCATCCATGGGTTCATACATAACATATATTAACAGCTGAAATACTTATTTTTGTAGCATGAATCTGTAACCGTAGTTTACATTACACATATACATATTGTCAAGTAAAAAAATACCTTTAAAGCCAGGGCTGGGGTAGCATCTTCAAATAATAACTGTGAGGCATTTATCAAACGTGCGCCAGGGACCTCTTTAGCAGAAGTTTAAAGCATGTGTTTATTGTGAGGATTTTTTTTTTCTTTTGACCTTCACAATCAGGGAGGATTGATTGGAGCTTCACTTTTGTTTCCCCCAAATCAAAGTGAAATAAAATGCCTTGAGTGAAAATCAAAAGCCTTTGACATATAGCAAAAAGCTTGCTGTGCAATATTAGTACCCAAAGGCAATGCAGATCTCTTTTTGGAAGCAACATGTGTTCATGGGGAACTCTTTTCCTTTCTTTCTCTTTCTTACAACAATTTAGTTTGAAGAATGGAAAGTGGGCTATTTTTAATATGCAGATTCAATATCCCTGACAGGCTAAACAAATATCTAAGTGCAGCTCTGTACCTGAATATATTCCTGTGCTTGAGGCAGTAGTAAGCCAGAACCTCTTCAGATGGCCAGATGCCTGGAAAACACAAGAGGGTAGATGTTGGGATAATAAAGTCTTTCTGTTACAGACTGGCTTTTAAAATGAAGGCTCGGTGCAAGCTATTTTCAGCTCAAATCAAACTTACATAGTAGTTACTTGTCATGTGCCGGACCATATGAGTTTCACTTGCTGTTGTTTTATCATGGTCAGATTTATAACCCTTTCTCCCCAGGGTGATAGGAAAACAGCCTAAATAAACTTTGCTAAATTTCAATCACAACAGAAGAGTAAAACCAATATCAAACCAAAATTACAGATATCCAAAGTTAAATGTGGATGGATTTCAAGTGGATCTTAATCTTCTATAAGATTAATAAGCCTAAGTCAAAGGCCTGCTACATATGCAGTTCCTGGTAGGCCAAAAAAACCAACAACAACAAAATCACTTTCAGAGCAAATAAAACCCCCGCGGTCTCTCTGTCTTCCATACCTTTTCATATTAATGTTTTACAATACCCACAATTCCTTCCTTTTTTGAATTAAAAGACCAAATGGGAGTATAAAATTAAGAGAGTTCCATTTCACCAACTTTGGCATATCTTTAACAGTAATCCTATACACAAAATTGCATGGATGGGCATTTTCTGAAATCATCACCTATAAATTTGCTTAGTTCAGGAATGGATATGAATTGCTTTATGGCAGACATGCTGGAAGCCACACTTACTTGTGGTTGTCACAGGATGGGAGGTCATGTGTGCTTTTAATTTTCTCTATACTTTTTTGTATTTTTCAAGATGAGCCTGTAACACTTTGATAATTAGAATAAATCATAACCTCATGAAAGTTATGTTTTTCTCCAAGGGATCAACCGCAGCCATCAGCCGAGGCCTCCCAGGCATCCTTCTTGTGTGAAGCTAAGGAAGTCACATAGCCCTGGGAAAGAGTAGTCATGTCTCAGCACTCGACACTCTGCTGATGGGCTTCGGTGCAAAGTTGAAACACACTGAAAAGAGACTTGATTCCCCTCTGCCCACCCCACCCCACTTGGATCTCCTAGCTTGAAGAGTAAGAAATTCAAATATTTCAGAGAAGAGGATGGGAACGAAATGAAAATAACCCTAGAGAATGAATGGTTGACTCTATGACTAGGAAGAGGAGAAGAGGGGACACCATAGAGCACGTGCTACAGGAAAGCCAAGACAGGTGAGCTCACCACTCAACCTCCCTAGCATTGCTGGGAAAAGATAAAGAAAATCAGTAAGGAGTGTTTAGAAACATGGAGTGAAGGCTGGAGAGTGTAGCACTTGGAGCCTCAGGTACTTTGGAACCAGACTCTGGGCTCTGGTCCCTGCTCTGCCATTTCCCAGCTGAGAGACTTTGGATAGGTTACTTAACCTCTCTGTGCCTCAGGCTTCTTATCTGTAAAATATAGTAATTGCATTATCAACTTCATAGGATTGATGTGAGGATCAAATGAGTAAAATGCACACAATGTGCTTGAACAGTTCCTAACTCATAATAAACTCAAAGAAAAAGAAAGTTGATATTATCTCAGTCTGTGTTCTCTCTCTCTCTCTCTCTCTCTCTCTCTCTCTCTCTCTCTCCTCTCTCTCCCCCTCTCTCTCTCCCCTCTCTCTCCTCACTCTCTCACCTGTTTTTGTTTTTGTTTTGGTAGGTCTCGCTATATAGTCCTGGCCAGCCTGAAACTTGAAATATAGACCAACCGGCCTCAAATTCACAGAGATCCCCCGCCCCTGCCTCCAGAGTGCTGAGATTAAAAGTTTGTGCCACTGATTCCAGCAGATCTTGGCTTTTTAAAAACCATTTCTTCCCCCCTAGTTTCCAGATACCTTTATTGTTTCTCACATGGTTTGCTATTATATTATTATTTTCAATCTATGAATTATGTTATCTACTAAGAACTGTGCCACCACCCCAGCTCCTTTTAAACAAACAAAAAACATCTTTTTTGAGACTGTTTCACAATGTAGTCCTGGCTGGACTGGAACTTGCTATGTAAACCAGGCTGGCCTTGAATTCACAGCAATCTGCTTGCCTCTACCTCCTGCGTGCTGGCATTAGAAGTGTGTGCCACCATGCCCTACTGTGTTATTCTTTTGAAACTGGGGGAGGGTTAGAAGAGATGAGGAGTGAATATGTGTGGAAAACAATTATCCTGAAAGCCAAAACAGATAGAGAACCATTTTTAACCTGTTCCTACTCTTGAGTTTTGGCAGGACCCCAAAGTCCTAATAACTTGCACACCTGCACATAAAAAGAGCTCTATAAAAACCAAAGTATATAATAAAATTGTCTGAAGGAAGAGCCCAAGACAGTGTTCTCACCAACTGGATATAATCACCACCAGAATGAATTTCTTTATGCCCTGAGTACATGGCTGTGAGGTTTTTTAAAAAAAGTAATGATAGGGGAAGGGTGTTTAACTAAAACTTAAGCCTTGACTAAGTATAAAATGTAACTTCTAAAATGTATACTTTTCAAATCTTTTTTTTTCCAAAAAATTATAGACTGATTTTTAAAAACCAAATTAAATACAAAGTAGAGGAAAAATCACTTAAATTTCTACCATTAGGAATATAATCATTATTAGCATTTTAGCCATCATTCTAAAAGTCTTTCTAGTGATAAAAGCATCTCACCCAGCATTTTCTTCTGGTTCCAAGTATTTAGGCTAAGGGACACTGAATCTATACCTAACTGTCCTGTGTGAAATTTGTACCACGTTACATCCCCAATGTTTCTGGGTTATCAAGATGGCTTAGTGGGTAAAGTGCTTGGTGCACAAAATTGATGACCTGAGTTTGATTCCTGGAATCCGTAAAGATGGAAGTCGAGAACTGACTCTACAAAATTGTCCTCTGGCCTCCGCACCTGTGCTGTGGTATGCTCTCCCTGACCCCCACCATACACACACAATGATAATTTTTTTTAAAGAATGTTTGTGGGGCTGGAGAGATGGCTCAGTGGTTAAGAGTACTGACTGCTCTTGCAGAAGACCCAAGTTCGATTCCCAGCACCCACATGGCAGCTAACAACTTTCCTTAACTCCAGTTCCAGAGACCCGATGCCCTCTTCTGAACTCACAGCATTGCACGACATGAGTGCACTTGTATACATACAGGCAATACACTCATACACATAAAATAAAAATAATAAATAAAACATTTTAAAAAACTACCCATATGCCTATAGTAAAAATTTAAAAATTAAAATTAAAAAAATGTTTCTTCAAAGTCTTACCAAGACAGGGGTTTCTCAATCTATTTTATTTTAATTATTTATTTTATTAGCATATAATGTGTTTCCCTACAGCATTTTCAAACATATATACAATGTGTTTTTATCAAGCTGACCCTCTATCACCCTCTCTTACTCTGCTTTCTATGACTCCTGATCACCTTCTTCTCACCAAATCCCTCATCCACTTTCACATTTTATTTTATTTTATTTTATTTATGTACTTAGCACTTTGACCACTAATGAGCCTAATACAGTTACCACTGCCCACTGTAGAAAGGAGCTTCTCTGACCAAAGTCGATGGTGGCACTAACCTATGAGTATAAGCATTCTTATTTAGAAAGCACTTTGATGGGCACATCATGTCCATTTATCAAAACAGTAACAGTAGCTCCCCAGTAGGGCCTACGATTTCCCTAGCCATGAGCTTTTAACCAAGGTAGAGTACCAGATAGGGATCCCCTCCTGAGAAGTGGGCCTCATATCTCATCAGAGAGCAGTTGGTTACCCGTGTTCCTGACTTGCCACTATTGACCATTAAGCATTTCTTTCTTTTTTTTAAAGACACAATCCCTAGTGCTTTCTCAAAAAAAAAAAAATAATAATAAAGGGGCTGGAGAGATGATTCAGTGGTTAAGAGCACTGGCTGCTCTTTCAGAGGACCCAGGTTCGATTCCTAACACCCACATGGCAATAACTGTCTGTAACTCCAGTTCCATGAGATTTGATGCCCTCTTCTGACCTCTGCAGGTATTGCATGGCATGGGTGCATGTACACACATGCAGGCAATACACTCATATACATAAAATAAAAACAATAAAAATATTTTTAAAAATAAAAAAATCAATGTGTATGAGCATTTTGCCTGCATGGATGTAAGTGTACCACATGCGTGCAATACCAGGAGAGGCCAGAATAGGGTGTCAGATTCCCTGGAACTGGAGTTATGGATGGTTGTTAGCTGCCATGTGGGTGCTGGGAACCGAACCCAGGTCTTCTGAAAGATCAGCCAGTGCTCTGATTCACTGAGCCAGCTCTCCAGCCCCCAGTGGGCACTTCTTGTGCTGCTGGTCAGTACTGTAGCATGCCGAGTAAGATCATGGATGAGAGTTCTCTCCTAGCAGCCTGCACAGTACCCTCAGCACTGTGAGAGCTAGCTAGCAGGGACAAGGCATCCATCGCCCTCCAAATTGATTTCTGTATGTTCTACAACCAAAGCATGTGGATGTCTTCAACAATAAGGTCTTATCTAGTTGCAGGCAACCAATAGCCATGACAAGTGTCGATTTTATTTTAAGCAATCTTTCTTAAAAACTAAAACATGATATATCACATCCACTAGAATGGCTATCATTAAAAAGTCAGAAAATGGCAAGTGTTGGTGAGGATATGGGAAAACTGGAACTTGCATGCACTGCTGGTAGAAATGCAAAATGATATACTTTTGCCAAAACTCTGTAGCACTTCCTCTGAAAGTTAAATAGTTTAATCTGGATTATGATATGACCCAGAAATTACATCCCTAGAAAAAGTGAAATTAAGCCCATACAAAATCATGTATAGAAATACTTATAGCAGCATTATTCATAATAGCCAAAAGGTAGAAACAATCAAAATTTCCACCAACTAATGACTGCAGTGCTAATACATGCTACATGACCAGAACATGAAAACATATTAAGTGAAGGAAGCCAGTTACAAAGGGTCATATGTTGTATGTTTACATCTCTATGAAATGCACAGATAGGTATGTCCAGAAAAACAAGTGCAGCA